GTAAGAGCCTGCAATGCCTGCCACGAATCCAAATGGCAGGAAAACCGGCAGACAGCGAACTGTCGCCTCTCCTTACATGCCAAATAAAAAACACTCACACACATACACTTGAAAATCCAAACAAAGGCAAACTTTATCTCAGAAGACTGGAGAGAAAATTGGTATACATCTCGTCTGGCTGGACTGAGTAAAAAAACTGACCCTACCAGTCAGAGGAGGCGTGGTCACCAATTTGCATAACTCAGTCTCTAGGCTAATGGACAAAGTTAACCCATGCTTGGATTCCCCAAGCAGCACACAGGAGAAGGAAGGCAGGCTGATCTCATTCTACCTCAGTAAGCCTCTGTTGCAAATATCTCACCAGTACTCACATTCATAAGTGTTCTATACAGATGAGTGAATGCAGGTAGTTCTCGACTTACCACAGTTCATTTAGTGATCGTTCAAAGTTACAACGGTACTGAAAATAAGTGACTTATGACCATTTTTCACATGTGTGACCTTTGCAGCATCTCCATGGTTACATGGTTTATATTCAGATGCTTGACAACTGACTCACATTTATGACGGTTGCAGTGTTGTGGCATGATGGGATTGATCACCTTTTGCAACTTTCTGATGAGTAAAGTCAATGGGGAAACCAGATTCACTTAACAACCATGTTACTAATTTAACAACAGTGATTCAGTGAACAAATGTGGCAAGAAAAGTCGTAAAATGGGAGGAAACTCACAACAAATTTCTTGCTTAGCAACATAAATTTTGAGCTCAATTGTGGTCGTAGGTTGAGGGCTACCTATGTATGCATTGGCCTTATTCATTATCCAAATTAGGCAAAGGCAAGTGCCTTATAGAGTTTCCTAAATAAAAATGATAAATAATATAAATTAATATGACTAAAATGATTCCTAAGCACGCAATCAGAAGTGAAATTGCTTAGTGTTTTAGGTTGGTGATGGTCTTAGATGAAGTATTCTGTCAGTGCTTCAGAGATTTAATGGTCAAGATTCCATGTTTTTATATCAGGTCCTTAATCCACATGCTTACAGGGATAAGAACAAGAGCCGTCTTCCTTTTTTCTAGAGGGTAGAAAGGCATGGGTAACTAGTGCACTTTTCATGGACTGATTCAAAATATGTTTCTTCCATGAAATAAACATTATTTGAAAAATAAAAATGCAGCTTTTGAACTATGGGTGATTCTTAATAATGCTCATTATCCTAAGGATAAATTCTCATTACTTTTTAAAATATTGATACATATTGCTCTCTTAGGCCATTTATAAGAATCCATGAACTGATTAACATCACCAAGAATTTCCAAGAACAGATTGCTTCATCAAGTAACTTATAAAGAAAACCAGGAGGAAGATTTAAATAAACTATTGCAGTATGCAACTGAGATGACAGATAAGGTGATGAACATCATTTTGTGTAATGCAGCTGAAAGTTACTGAATGGCAAAGTAATACTATATAACAATACAAGAAAAAAATTAAGACATAAGCACATTCAGCCATTTACATGTTTTTTTTTAAATCAACAAGCCTAGCAGCCATGCTTGATCTTCAACCATTTGCTGGTAGAGTGTGTCGCAACTTTAAGATATGTGGACTTGAATTCCTAGAATTCCCCACTCAGCATTGGAGACTAGCATTTGTACAGCCTGCAGCCATCAAGGCGTCTGGGGAATTCTGGGAATTGAAGTCAGTCCACATATGTGAAAATTGTCAAGGTTCGGAAACACTGTGTCAGGCCCGGAAACCATATTTTCTACTGTGGGAAAATTGGAGGGGGGTTATATGGAATTTGGGAGACATATATAGTCTAAATAACATTCCTTTCTCAGAGAGTCAAGAACATTTTGCCCTGCACCTTGAGTGGAGTGACTTGGAGGCATCTCCAGTTGGGATGGTGCCTGATTAGACCATGTGATGGACATGTGGGTGCTGGGCAGGGACTTGAACTTTCACTTGGGTGGGGAAAACCTGGAAACTTTCAGATTCGGGTTTTCCCAGATGATGACCTCTCTAATAAAATGGAACTTTGAGGAAACTCTAGCCTTGGAGTCTTCTTTCCTTAGGGGTTCTACTTGAAACCCTGACACACTGTAGATGTGAACAGTCATCATCATCATCATCATCTATATTACCATTATCATTTTATCTACAGAATATTACATATCTATATCATTATCTATATTATTTACAGTATATTAATATAACCAGAGCAACAAAGGTAAGGGTTATATCTAAATGGATACTACTCTCAAATATATATTCTGAAGTTTTCTTAATATTGTTTGATAGTTTTATTTTAAAACTTGGTTTCATTCCTTTAATCCTACTTCTATCATATGGTCTTAGGTTTATCAAATTGTGAGGGTTTTCAAAAGGAACCTTGTAACTAGCAACAGGTGATTGTATAATTTTGTTCTATACCTCACAAGCCGCTAGAGGGCACACAGATTTTTACTTTGGAGAATTAAACGTGGAAACATTGTTACTGCATGTTATGGAGTTATTTGTACTTTAATCCATTTCTTAACTGCAACTTTTAATTTAAATTTAAACATGTATTTGTTGACAGAAAAGGATAGAGAAGTTGTTGAGGGGATAAATACACTCAGTGGGTGTTTTACAAATTTCAGTTTCATTTTATTTAATTATCTATATATTTATTTATTTTGTATGAACAGAAACAACATTTACCGTGAGCATTGGTACAATATATCGCCAGTTTTTATTCAGGCTCTCAATAGAGTTCATCTCTTCAATGGTCAGGCTGAAGTCAAATACCTAAAACATATAAATACATTTACTGTTAATTCAGGCTATGATTTTCACTGTTGCTATTTTGTGAGTGGTCTTAATTGCTTAAAAAATCTGCTTGTAGAACACATGTAAATGCAAACAGGTGCAGAACATATCTAAATAATGAGAGCTATCTACTAAGAGATGTGCAATGCTTCAGTGCCAAAGCAAAAAGATGCTTTGAAGTGGGAATGGGTGTGCACACTGCACCTCCTTAAAGATGTAGCTTCTTTAAGGTGATGCAGATAGGTGTGGTATGAATGCACCCACCCACTCTGAAGCAAATTTTTGGCTGCACATCTAAAGCATTGCACATCCTAACCACCTAAAGAAAACATAGTTTTTTGTCAGCAAGCATGCCTGGCATACAGAAATAATCTTTTTCAGTGTTTCTTACACTTCGTAAAAGATCTAAGTGTGAAAAACAAATCCTCATCTGTAAAGTTTCATTATTTTTAAATACCTTTATGATGACTTCTATTGTATAAGAAAAACTGCTTATAGAACTGTAGAGAAATAAGACATAAACTTCAGAAACTTGGCAAAACTATTAATACAGGACATCTTGCAAGGAAACTGAACTGGAGACAACCTTAAAAAACTCACACTAAAAATTTCTACTAGGTGGTGCTATATACTGTACATTTGGAGTGTAGTTTACGGACAAGTTACAATTTTATCCTCAATGAGATATACAGTGGAAAACAAGTGTCAAAAAAGCAGCAATCTCTGAACTCAGAGAAGCAAATTCCTCAGTAGGTGTTCATATTAATAAAGTTTGTTTATTCCTTGCAAAACGTTCGTCACAAAAAGCAACGTCAGAACATTATATAATTTGGTGAAAACTGGTGATAGTGGACATAGATAGTAACTATTGTAATGAGCTGAGAAATTTGTGACCTTTCAAATATTGCTGCATTATAATCTCAACATCTCACACTATCGTCTATAGTGGCTGAATTCAGTGGAAATTGGAGCTCACTAACATCAGATTCATGATTCATACTATAGGAGCTTTAATTATTACAATATTTATTAATATAGCAACAAGGCTGAAGAGTTGCACGGAAGGTATTCTGTTGTATGCTTATAGCTGAATGAGTCACAATATATTCAGGCATACTGCTATAGAAGCTTTTGTAAAGATCCAAGTAAATACCATGGAGTCTGAAATTTTCTCAACATGCCTAATATGCCATAATTGTTCTGGCAAACTGGGTCACAACACAACAATGAAAGGATATAATTCATGACCGTAGAAGTTTGACTTCCACTTGGGATTTCATCATCATGAATTTTTGCAAAATCAAAGTAGCAGGTGAGCCATGTTCTACAGAATGGGCTTTCTGAGTTAGGCTACTGTTGCCCAACTTACAGCTACGTTCCTTGGTTGACAAAATGCCAAAGTGATTATTACTGATTTATTTCCCTGGATTAATGGTTCAGCTCATTTTTCCCATAACCTACCAAATTTAACTGACTAGAAAACCAGGGCCTTGAAGCTCTTAGGGACTGGATGAGGGCTAACAAGCTTGTGCTCAACCCAGATAAGACCGAGTGGCTGTTGTGTTTCCCTCCCACTAATTCGGCAAGTATTCCATCTCTCAGGCTGGGGGGTCAAATATTACGCCCCTCAGACAGGGTCCGCAACTTGGGAGTCCTCCTGGACCCACAGCT